TAAAAATTAGAAAGGGATAAAATTATGAAGTAAAGGTGAATGTACAGTTATTAATTAGCTTTTCTGTTAACTGTAACTTACTGTTGTTGAGCTTTGCAGGAGCCTATTCCCTAAACAGAATGTGCGTGCAAGAAAAATAGCCTTGCTCCGCTCTTCTAGCTTTGTTGGGCTTAATAATAGAGACAATTGGCAGTGCAGTGTGTACAGGAAACTGAACTAATAAAGTTTGACAAATGCTGGAAGAACAGAGTGCGGCTGTTGTCCTTGTAGATGCATGATGTGCGCAGTAGTCTATATAGTTGGTGGGCTTGAAGGGACAGCTGATGTCAAGCTTACCATGCATGTAAATCGCCTGGCTTTGACATTAGAATCAGTAACCCAATGGCTTGAAAGCAATTTCAGGGATTTTTACTTTTGACTTCTAACAATGTTTGATTAAATAAATGTAATTATCTCTTCTTAACAACCTTGCAGTTGTAAAAGAAGGTACGATGGGCCATCAGTTACACAGTCCCATTCTATAGTACTTTAATTGTAACCTTTTCTTGGTATAACATTCCCGATGGTTGTTTACAGCACACAAGAACTTGTGTGTGATTCTGATAAATCTTGTCTACTTTCTGTAAGAAGATTAGTTTAGCTCAGAACTTTTCAGATTGCTAACACGCAACCAGGGAAAGAGAAATTGTTCTTGCAGATGTTAGGAAAGTGGCTAGTGGTCTAGGATGAAATACATTTATTGTCTCCCTGGAAGCCTCTACTGATCTCATTTTATTGCTTTGTACAATTATCAGGGAAAAGGAATTTACAAATATACCATCTCAAATAACACCAGAGCCATCTTTTCTGCTTCCATCCCAAAAGATTATGCCACTGCATTCACTTAATATTAACAGTATTATTATTACTTGGGGGTGTTAGGAAAGCTCAGTGCTGATTAACCCTAATGATGCTGGATATTCCTAAATTACCATGCTGGTCACAAGAAACTGTGCCTTCTGGGTCTATAGTATGGACATAGAGACAGACTGATAAGGGAACATGTATTTGGCCAAAGATTGATGAGCTAAACTTTGAGTAGATAGTAGTGGCGTACCCTGTTTCTTGCATAGCAATGCCTTGGCTCCTCAAAAGGGTGCTCTGGTACCGTGCATTTCATTATATTAGGTGGGAGTGTGCTTCTACTATCAACTGTAGAACATTGGAGCAATTTGGGGTATCCTGTAGGTGTAATAAGAAGATGGCTGTACCTACCTGCATCAAGTGGTCTCTGGGTTACTACTATGGGGTGCATGTATTAGCCTTAGAATAAATGCAGGTTCATGTTATATGTCCCCACTGGCATTGTTAGTTTGTACAATATTAGTAGCATTCTTCACATGCACAAGATCTGAATAACAACTGTAAACAATTAGTCCTTCTAAGAATATTACATTGCTTTGTGCTGCATAAGGCAGCCGTATATTTCCTCCATTTCCATATAGCCCTTTTCTAAACCACACCCATTTAAAATACAGAATAATTGGCTTCAAAGGTGGAGTTTCGGTCTAATACCACAAACCTGCTGACAGGAGATGAAGGTAGAGTGGTGATCCCATTGGTATGTTGGTGCTCCTTCATTGTTCATTTGAAAAAGCTGAAATTGAGACAAAGACCAGTGATAGCCATGAATGCTAGGGGGTGTTTTTCAAGTGATTTCTCAGCCAAATAATGCATGGAGACATGGATGGATGGGTAAGTTTGCTTTGAATTTTAAAAATGAAACAACAGGGTTCCATTCATGAAGCAGTATCTATGGCTTTAGAAAATGCGGTAAAATACCGCTAAGCGTTTTTTTCAAAAAGTTTTTTAGCATTCATGAAAGAACGCTTCTAAAATACCGCATGTGGTATTTTTCTGAAATATGCGGTATTTATCTAATGAAACTATGCAGCATTTTATCTCATGGGATATTCAGTGGGATGGATACAGTGGAGGAGAATTAGAACCCCTGCCAGTTTTTATTGCTAATAAATAGGTACAATGGTTTTTAAACCATAGAAATATGCCAACTCATTAAGGCTTGGTTCACACCACTGCGGCCTGAAAGCCACACAACTTACAGTGCGACTTTGCCAGGCGATTTCCTGCCGATTTGCTGGTGACTCAATGCAACTTGAGTGTAACTTTGATACGACTTGATGCACTACTTTCATGCCATGCGACTTTGCCTAGGTAATCTTCCTGTAATGTCGGATCCAAATCACATCAGTATAGATGAGCATCTGACTTGGAGGCAACGTCCATTAAAGTCTATGGGCACAAGTCGGATAGAAGTCGCCATGAAGTAGTACAGGAACCATTTTGTCGGAGTCGGAGAGACTTTAGTAGTGCTAATTAAAGCAGAGTTCAACCCAAAGGTGGAAGTTCCACTTTAATGCTTTGTCCCCCGCACCCCATTAAGGATTGGCACCTTTGGGGAGCGGGGTGGGGGGGAGCAGGTAATCGAATTTGACAGGTACCCGCTCCTACTTCAGAAGCAGAAATTGTCATCCCTCCCCGTAGTTTTCTGGGACACGTGACAAGCCTCAGAAGACTATGGTGCCATTCACAAAGCGTAGAGCTTCTCGCACATGCGCAGTTGGCACCCGGGTGTGAAGCCGAAAGCTGATATAACCGGGTGCCCGCACTAAAGATGCCGGCGCCAGGGAGAGAGGGCACCGCTGGACTGAGGGACAGGTAAGTGGCTGTATTTTAAAAGTCAGCAGGTACAGTTTTTGTAGCTGCTGACTTCTTTTTTTTTTTTTTTTCCAGTTGGAACTCCACTTTAAGACTGCTGTGAATGTATTAATACAAAAGAAAAAGGTGACTAGAATACCAGTCAAAGAGAAACTGCTTTCACAGGACACACATGGGGTATCAAAAACAACTATGTTAAAATAAGTAAATACAAAATATATTTATAACTGTCAAATATTGAATGTAAATAGCATAAAACAATTGCACACATACATAAATACCCTTCTTCTACAACGTTGTCTTTTTATTGGTGGAAGAATGGTATTCATATGTGTGTGTAATATTCGATACTATTTTCATTTAATGTTTGACATTTATAAAGATATTTTGTACTTGCTTACAGCTGAACTCCAGGATTATCAGTTTATCATTTTCAGATCCTTTCTCCAGCAACTGTAAAAACACTTATAAAGTTGAAATCAATATAGCTTACTTTTTTTGTAATCCTTGATTTTCAGGACCCTGTGATGTCATCTTGCTATAGAAAAAAATCCCTGCTTTCACTCTCTGAGAGGAGGACTTTCTACATTTCCACATGTCACATCCATGGTGGTTTAAAGAACTATCCTGCCCATGATGCAATGCAAGAAGCAGGAAGTCATGGGGGGGGGTGCAGGCACAGCTGTGGCTGTGCTGACGGTGGGATGGGGGCTGAGCTGATCATGGAGAGTTCTGAGCTATGGGTGGAGGTGGGGTTAAGAGAAGAACAGGGCTGGGTTTGAGCTGAGGGCAGAGCTGTGATGCATATGAGTGGGAGGTATAGACCGGGAGTCTGACACTCCCAAGACCCATCCTTTACACTGACACAGAACTACAATGAGGAAGGTACAAGACCGATGAATTTGGGAATAGAGGAAACAGCAGCCACCGGTCTTATAGAACCGAAATCACAGGGAAGGAAGCCTGTGATTTAAATAATGCACTTTCATTTTCTCTTAAACTGCATGGAGTACATGTCTGCTCAAGGCAGGAAAGTACCTGCAGCAACATAGAAAATGTTTCTGCCTGGAGTTCTGCTTTAAAGTATAACTAAAGGAAAACTTTTTTTTGTTTTAGAGAGGTGCTGTTTGTGCCCTCATTACTCATCCTCTCTTTTTGTCCTGTTTACCATTATCATTCAAAGTGAAATGAAAAGAAATTAAAAGAAAATCCCAAATTTTTGTCCCCAGAAAAGAAGAGGGGAAATTTTCCAATGGGGACAATAGTTCTGGTGATCTGGGGGATCCCAAGGGATTCCCTTAATTTGCAAGGATTTCCTCTCACTTCTTGTTTTGGCTATGGGACGGGAAGTGAACCAAAATCTCCCCAATGGGGGAAAAAAAACCTTACAGGTGCTCTAACCCTCATTACTCTAACCAAAATGAAAAAGAAAATTTTACCTTTAGTTACACTTTCAAGAAGCCTTTCTTAACCTTTTCAACATACAGGCACCCTTGATACATTACTGTGATGGTCAGTGGGAAGAATGCTCCTTCCTTACACTTGTTGTCACTGGGAAGAACAACCCCTTTATAGATTGATAAAACGATCAATGATGTCAGTGGGAACTTGTCAGTGGGAAGATATCTCTAAAACTAATTGTGAAAAAGTAAAGTATCCCCAAGACACATGACACATACAGTGCTCAGCATAAATGAGAACACCCCAACAGATTTGTCAGAAAACCTTTACTTTCCTTCCAGGGTCAACATTTTTTATGAGACACTATACTATGAAATACTCCCACAAATGCGGGCCATTGATGGCAAACACGAATTGTTATTTTGCACACACAAAAAAAGTATTTCTTCCTAACAAATTCATTCATGACCGTGTTGCAAAAATGAATACACCCCAATGAAAGTCTCAGGAGCAAAGCTACATTTTAGATAACAAAATTCTACTTAACAAGAATTCAACTACAGGTAAGTCTAATTATTCTCAAAACAGGTGTCCAGCAGACAGTTTATTTTAAAAGGGCATTACTTAACAAAGAAAAACCCTTCCCATTACATGCTGTCAGCAATTACACCACATTGAAGAGAAATGTCACAAGGCCTGAGAAAGAAAAACATTTATTTACACAATAAAGGTGAAGGCTACAAGAAGATCAGCAACGCTTTATTTAGTCAGAATACTGTAGCAAAAGTGATACAAAAATTTAACAAAGATGGAACTGCAACCTATCTTATTGAGATGTCCAGGCCGTCCATGGAAGTTAACACTTCGACAGGAGCGTCTTCTGATGATAATGGCTGAAGAAAATCACCATGCAAGTTCACTGCAGTTAGCCAAAGAAGAAAGCCAAACTGAGGTGATTTTCTCTTGTGACACAATATGGTGTACACTGGAGAGGAGTGGCATGCATGGATATTGTCCATGAAGGAAGCCTCTCCTAAAGCCAATGCACAAAAAAGCCCGCCTAGAATTTGCCAGGGCTCATGCTGAAAAAGAACAAGACTACTGGGACTCTTTACCCTGGAGTGATAAGACCAAGAAATGTTTTTTGAACTGAAGGCTTCAAAACTGTATGGTGTTGAAAAGGTGAGAAGTACCAAGAAAAATGCATGGTTCCTACAGTGAAACATGGTGGTGGCAGTGTCCTTCTGTGAGGCTGCATACGTGCTGCTGGTGTTGGGGAGCTACATTTCATTGGTGGCAGATGTACTGCACTATATTGAAAGAGAAGATGCTACCGTCACTCCATGCCCTTGGTCGTGTCCAGCATGACAATGATCCAAAACACACATCTATGGCCACTTTTTCTGAAGAAGAAAAGGGTGAAAGTGATTCAGTGGCCATGTATGTCTCCTGATCTGAACCCAGTCGAACACCTATGGGGAATTCTGAAGAGACATGTTAAGTATCCCTCTCCATCCAGCATTGAGGCTCTAAAAGAGGTCGTTCTTGAAGAATGGAAAAAGATAGATGTCGCAATATGTCGCCAACTTGTTCATTCATTTACCTAGAAAACATGGTGCTGTCCTTACAAATCATGGAGGTCATACAAATACTACATGTAGTAGTTTTTATTGTGGGGTGTATTCATTTTTTCATCAACTAATTTGAGTAAAACTGAAGATTTTGTCATCTAAGTTATATTATTAACCTTACTTTCATGTAATCAGCTAAACAAATGTTCTATAAAACGCAGTTTTGTCAAAACTCTGAACTTGTTCTTTCAGTTGATTGAGATATTGATTAAAATCTTACTTTTCAAAAGGGGTGTACCCATTTATGCTGAGCACCGTAAATACCAACAAAAAACACAACATTGTAGAAGAAGCGCATTTATTTATGGTGGGGATTTTTTATACTATTTTCATTCAATATTTGACATTTATAAAGATATTTTGTATTTACATAATTGAAGTTAGTTGTTTTTGCTTTAGTTATACTATAAGTAAATGAACCCCAATGATTTCCATATTTAGGTTTCTATGCATTACTGTTGAGAGAACATAATCAAAAAGGTAGTTACTACTCAAAATTGGCTATTATATTTTTGCATTCCTTAAATACTGCATGCCTGGACCACTACTTAATTACCACATGCAGTTAATTATTTATTTCCTTTTGTGAATTGCCTTTATGCTGTATTTACTGAGCATTTTGCAGTAAATACTGCAAAATGGCATAGTGAATTGACAATTTCAGGATCATATGTGATATTTAGGGAAAATGTGTCTGCACACCTAAATACTGCATTTGATCTGCTTTAGTGAATAGAGCCCGCTGTGTTTTTGGTTTGTGGTGCTCAGATACAGCATTGTTCTGCTTTAAAGTATTACTAAACCCACAACAGTAAAATCAGTCTGTATATGCAGTAAAGCAAGCTTGTTATACTCACTGTGGAATCTAAGGGGTTAATTCTCTGCATTGTGTAAAAAGGATGTTTGATCCTGTCTTCTTTGTCCCTCCTCTTGTTGAAATGGCCACCTGATACAGACTGAATTCGTAGTCACATGCACATGCTCCGTTTGGTGTTGCTAGAGAGGTTTTTTTTTTTCTTGGGAGAGTTCATGTGATCAGCACAGGGCCAATCAGCACTGTCCAAACAGATTGTCAAGGTTTTCACATTCTCCTAGAGCAGAAAGAAAACTCCTCCTACAAGCTTTAACCAGTGCTCTGCTGAAGTCACAAGACTGCTCTAGCTGCTGATGAGGAAAGGTATTTAGCAGTTTATATTTACAAAAATATTACATTTCCATGTTGTGTGTACTGTGGGAGAGTGGATAAAGTGAATGTAGGGTCCGTGGCTTAGTATCACTAAGATTGTAAATAGGCTGTGGGAATGTGGAAGTAAAAGGTTTTAATGTTTTTTGTAAGGCCATTCATGAGTTCGCTGGAAATATATAGTTGTATGTATATTCTGTGAGGTCTCCATATTGTAAGATTTTTTCTCTTGGAAATAAAAAGTACCTCTGCAAAAAAAAGGTGACCATCTTTTGTAAGGGATATTTTGTAATTATGCAAAGGAAATGAATAAATACATTTTAGAGCCTCCAGTAAATAATATTTAGCCTTCATAAAATGTAGCTATTATAACTATCACAATATTAGCATAGACTGCTAACAACATTCCAACTACGAAAATATATTACCTGTTTAGATTATCCCCATAAAAATATCTGAGCCTTATTAGGGCTCATTCACATGGTTCGCGTAGGGCTGTATACAGACAGAACTCCTTGTTTTTCTGCTCTCAGGAGTCACAGTTGTTCAAGTATAGCCATGGTTAGTACTGTTATGCTCTGTAATGTTGTACTGTGTAATGTATATACATATACTATATCAGTGCATTTTTTTAATGTGTACAAAAACCAACAAACCAAGCTAGGAACCAAGCTTGAGTGCTGGTTCACACTGATGCGGTGTGGAATTTGCACCGGTTTCTGTGCGATTCCAGCACCGCATCAAAATCGCACCCCGTTCATGCGAATCGCTGCAGGTATATATGTTGTCAACAACACCCCGAAATTGGTTCACAAAACGCAGTGCGATGTGCAGAATCAGATCGCATGGGTGTTCATTCTAGTGCAGACAAAAAAAGGGTCCTGCACGATTTTGGTGAGGATGCGGTGCGAATCACTTTCGATGTGCAGTGTGAACCGGCACTGAGCCATCTTCTCCCGATGCTGTTTTTTACATACTGGATGGTAGAAAATAAAGTTCTTGGTTGAAAAACATCTTAATATGCTGAGTTTAAGTATAAGTGATTATAAATAATGCACGTCCTATACGACTCCTCTAGTATGGGTGAGCATCTAATAACCTCTGTCTATGTTATAATGCATCTGTAGGGAATTCCATCCCATCAGATGAATCGAAGTGGCTATTTGAATTGATAGTAAACTATTTACAATAAGAAACAGCAGGAGTTATTGTAACTCCCTCTTCATTGGCCTACCTAATCACAGGCTATACCTTCTTAATTCTAGCATGAATGCTGCTGCCAGACTCATCCACCTTACTAACTGTTCCATATCTGCCATCGCTCTCTGCCAAGCCCTCCATTTGCTTCCCATTGCCCAATGAATAAAATTCAAAACATTACCAGTAACATATAAAATCATTTATAACTCTGTCCTAAATGACATCACCAATCTTGTCTCCAAATATCACGCAAACCGTCCTCTCCACTCCTCCCACGCCCTCCTGCTCTCTAGCTCCCTTGTCTCCTTCTCTCCATGCTTGTCTCCTGGACTTCTCCAGAGCCTCCCCATCCTCTGGAACTCTCTAACCCAATCTATCAGACTATCGCCTACTCTACCCACTTTTAGGCAATCTCTGAAAACCTACCTCTTCAGGGAAGCCTATCCCGTCTTCAGCTAATAACGCAATCTTCTATTCCTCCTACCAGTCCATCCCCCACAGTTATTACCTTTTGTACCACCAAGGAGCAGGGCCCTCCTAAACCTCTTGTATTGAACTGTATTGTTGCTGTATTGTCTCCCTTTATATTGTAAAGCGCTGAGCAAACTGTTTGCGCTATATAAATCCTGTATAATAATAATAATAAGTTCTTTTTTTTTTTTTGTGTGATTTATTACCATGACATGTATAATAACCTGGATAACTAAAACCCTTCATAGGGAGCTGTAAAAAGCACATTTCTTTTAATTTTTTTACAGAAGCTGGGGCTGTGTATTTCCTCTTTCACTGTCTCCTGTAGTCCTTGCGTTTGAATAGTGTTGGAGAAGTTCTCCAGTGCTCTCAGGATACATTGCCTGTGAGAAGCAGTGATCGGTGACGCTAAAACTTCTTGTTTTGTACTCTGTCTAGATCCATGTAATCATGGAATATCTGCCATTTTGTTGGCTGCATTTATGAATTGTTAGGCAAATTTCCCCAACTACCACAGCACATAAAACAAGTTTATGGATGCTCTGCCATCCTTGATCTTTTTTAACTGTTCAATCATTTGTGTAGGTGATATCTGCTGCATAAAGATAAGCCAATCTAGGTGTTGATGGACAGGTGATCATTGACATAAGTTTGCCTTGTCTGACTACTGTTCATACATTTAAATTCAGTCAATACAGAAAAGAAGCAGTACTTATTCAGTGGCAGTGTGTAAGCGTATTACTCATAATGGAAGTAAATAACCAACAAAGATATAACCCATCCACATTTATGCCACCTGTCAACTCTAGTCTCTAAGTAATTAAAATAGAAGTACAATGTCTACATGTCCATCAAGCTACCAAAACGTAAAGGGGAAACATATTGATTGATTGATTTACGTTTACATGTTTCAAACTGTATATATATATATATATATATATATATATTGCCAAAAGTATTGGGCCTCCTGCCTTTACATGCACATGATTTTTAATGTCATACCAGTCTTAATCCGTAGGGTTCAATATTGAGTTGGCCCACCCTTTGCAGCTATAGCAGCTTCGACTCTTCTGGGAAGGCTGTTCACAAGGTTTAGGAGTGTGTCTATGAGAATGTCTGACCATTCTTCCAGAAGCGCATTTGTGAGGTCAGGCACTGATTTCAGACCAGAAGGCCTGGCACAAAGTCTCCACTGTAATTCATCCCAAAGGTGTTCTATTGGGTTGAGGTCAGGACTCTGTGCAGGCCAGTCAAGTTCCTCCACCCCAAACTCAGTCATCCATGTCTTTATGGACCTTGCTTTGTGCATTGGTGCGCAGTCATGTTGGAACAGGAAGAGGCCATCATGAAATTGTCCAAAATGTCTTGATATGCTGATGCCTTAAGAGTTCCCTTCAGTGGAACTAAGGGGACAAGCCCAACCCCTGAAAAAAAACCACACACCATAATCTCCCCTCCACCAAACTTTATACTTGGCAAGTACCGCTCTCCCGCCAACCACCAAACGCAGACACATCCATCGGATTGCCAGACAGAGAAGCGTGATTCACCACTCCAGAGAACACGTTTCCACTGTTCTAGAGTGGAGTGACGGCATGCTTTACACCACTGCATCCAACGCTTTGCATTGCACTTGGTGATGTAAGACTACGATGCAGCTGCTCTGCCATGGAAACCTATTCCATGAGGCTCTGTATGCACTGTTATGCTAATCTGAAGGCCACACAAAGTTTGGAGGTCTTTAGCTATTGACTCTGCAGACAGTTGGTGACGTCTGTGCACTGTGCGCTTCAGCATGTGCTGACCCCACTCTGTAATTTTACGTGGCCTACCACTTCATGGTTGAGTTGCTGTTGTTCCCATTTGCTTCCACTTTGTTACAATACCGCTAACAGTTGACCGTGGAATATTTAGTAGCAAGGAAATTTCACGGATAGACATATTGCACAGTTGGCAACCTATCACGGTACCACGCTTGAATTCACTGAGCTCCTGAGAGCGACCCATTCTTTCACATTTGTCTGTAGAAGCAGTCTGCATGCCTAGGTGCTTGAAACTGAAGCCCCCACTTTGGTGAATTGAAACTTATCAACACTGAACCTTATATAGTCTTAGCCATCACCAATTTTAATATGAGGTAAATATGGACAGATTGATCAGACTAGTGAAAGCCTTTTTGAGTAAAGTAGTAAGAGTACAAATCTGCATATTAAATAGATATGTGTAATTGAACATATGTTGCCTTTACTTCCTGCTAGAACTGTGCTGGAATACCTTGTTTATTTTCTGTAAAGAAGAAATATTACTGTCTACAGTACGAGACATTTGTCTGTCAGTTCTGTACTTTCTTTTATCACATGGAGGAAGAGCTGTAACTTAGTCCTGAAGGCAGGTGAAGTCTGTTATCACTGACTGTTCATTTCCATCTGACCGAATTCCTTTCGTCTTTATTAGACCTGCAAGGATGGGCCTAAAGTATAAAGTATTGCATTTTTGTATAAAAATTCTTTATTTATTAAAAAGTAAACAATTCATCTTCTACCATTAGGTGGAGCTCCAGTCTCTTTTAACATGTTTTTTAGGTTAAATAGTAAAAGTGATATAATAATTAATTTATGTATAAAAGTACTTATGTATTAAAAAAATAATTTCATTCAACCAGGTAAGCACTTAAAAATACATCTGCGAATGTTAATGGAAAGCAAAGTAACCCTACAAACTTTTATCAGACACTCTACAATGCTTTACAAGCCCTTAAGAGATTGTTTATGCATGTGGTTGGGGGCCGTAAAAACAAAAAAACAAAAATTAATGGTTTCGCCCATCCAAGCAAGTGAGGTGGGTGGAGGAATCCTCCCCGCTATGCTATTGTATTCTGAAAGCCAGACCTTCTGCTGTTAGAATACACTGATCAGCTCTGCAGCTTGGCAAAATTTTTTCTAGCAAGCCCGTTTGCGAAAAGTTGATTATCTCACGAATGGGGACGGCCACAGATGGATAGAGATTCGGCCAGTCCCTTGATCCATCTATGGCCAGCTTAAATGGTTAGAACGTATATATTACAGCAATTGGATGTGCTTGCCTCTCAGCTAGGATAATATCTGCATGGAGTTGGCATGCTGTTCCCCTGCTTGTGTAAGTTGCCTCTCACACTCCAAAGATATGCTGGTAGGTTAAAGGACTCCTGCCTAAATTGGCCCGCGTATGTTTGTACAAATTGGCTTAGTGCTTTCATGTTCTTCATTCTTATCCCAAGCCCAAGCTATTGAGGAGGGTTGAGGAAAGACCTAGATACCTATCTTGTAAAAAATGTGCCAAGAAAATTCGACAGAAAATACTTTTAAACATATCAGGCATGGTGCCCAGAGAGCTGGCCTACAGGATCACTGAGAGTGGGAAATGACTGAACAGATATTTATTTATTTATTTCAGGTACTTATATAGCGCCGTCAATTTACGCAACGCTTTACACACATTTATATTGTACATTCACATTAGTCCCTACCCTTCAAGGGCGTACAATCCAAAGGATATACAGAAAGAAGCCCGCTCATATACTTATGTTTCTTTGTAATGAAGATTTCTTTTGCTCTGTGGTATATTTCTCTAATCTGTGAATTCCCCAAATCTTTAAGTCAATAAAGATATTACTCTCCAGATAAGGTTGAACATTAAATAAAATTATGAATAAATGTGCCATTGTTTAAACACCTAGATTTCCAAACTTATGATTAAACTGTAAAATATAGATAAAAATAATTACTATTTCCATGAACAACTGGCAGCGACAGATGTTCACTTCTACAGTCCTCTGCAGATTTGGTCGTTAATGGAAAAATAGCTCTTTAATGAAAAAGGGATTTTAAAAAATCTTTTTATTGGACGTTCAAATCAGATTGGCAAAAAAGAGGTGAAGATGACGTGAATCTTCAATCTTCTAGTTACTCATCCTATATCCACTTTAACCTTTAATTTAGTAAGCTTTGGAGGGTGAAGGAGGTCACAGCTTTGGTCTTTGGGGGTCTGTCTGTGGCAGACACAAATATCACTTCTTTTAAGAGGGAAGTAACATAATAATGGTGTCATGCTTTGCCCTCTAGTGCTCAGTAGCAATAGATATAGATTCTAGGGTAACTAACTAATCATTGTCATAATGTGAATAAACGACAAAGTAATGTGTAGTTGATTGGAAGAACTGTGACTGTTGAAACTTTGCAAAAATAAATAAATAAAAACAATATATATATATATATATATATATATATATATATATTTACTGCAGGTACTTATATAGTGCCATCAATTTATACTCACATTCATGTACTTGACCAGCATGTGTTTGGAGTGTGGAAGGAAACCCACACAGGCACAGGGAGGAAATGCAAGCTTCAGGCGGGTAGTTCTGTGTGGATGAGATTTGAACCGATGAACTAGTGTTGCTAGGTGGAAGTGCTAACCACTTAGCCACTGTGCTGCACATACACCTTTATATATATATATATATATATATATGTACATATATACATCTAAAACTCTCTCGAGCGCCTAGTCTACACCCGCTTATGCTCTCACCTCAACGACAACAACCTCCTCGATCCCCTACAGTCCGGCTTCCGTCCCCTACACTCCACCGAAACTGCCTTACTCAAACTCTCCAACGACCTGCTAACCGCCAACGCTAATGGCCACTATTCAGTGCTCCTACTCCTTGACCTCTCTGCGGCCTTCGACACAGTCGACCACCCCCTCCTCCTCAAAAAACTACACTCCCTCGGCCTCAGAGATTCTGCTCTCTCCTGGCTCTCATCCTACCTGTCACAACTCTCCTTCAGCGTTACCTATAATGCTACCACCTCCTCCTCACACCCCCTCTCTGTTGGGGTCCCTCAAGGCTCTGTCCTCGGGCCCCTTCTCTTCTCCATCTATACCTCCTCCCTTGGCCAACTCATACACTCTCACGGCTTCAACTACCACCTCTATGCCGACGACACACAGATCTATCTCTCAACCCCCCACCTCACCCCTTCGGTCTTCTCCCGAATCACACACACCTACTGAGCGACATATCAGACTGGATGTCGCTCCACTTCCTTAAATTGAACCTCTCCAAAACCGAGTTTCTTGTCTTCCCCCCAGCCCGGACACCACCCCCCATTGACTTCTCCGTCACATCCAACAACGCTACCAACAAACCCGCCCTGCAGGCCCGAGTACTTGGTGTCATTCTGGACTCCAACCTATCCTTTCAACCCCAAGTCCAATCTTTAACAAACTCGTGCAGACTCCACCTCCGCAACATCGCCAAAATACGCACGTTCCTAACCCCAGAAACCACTAAACAGCTCATCCACTCCCTCATCATATCACGACTCGACTACTGCAACTCCCTCCTCACTGGCCTGCCTCGCCGCTGGCTATCCCCGCTTCAGTCGATCCTGAATACGGCTGCCAGACTCATTCACCTTTCCAACTGCTCTGTATCCGCCACCCCCCTCTGCCAATCCCTCCACTGGCTTCCGATTGCGCAACGGATCAAATTCAAAATCCTAACGCTAACGTACAAAGCTGTCCACCATACTGCCCCGAACTACATCACTGACCTAATACCCAAGTACCGCCCAGCACGCACACTCCGCTCCTCACAAGACCTCCTTCTCTCTAGTTCCCTGGTCTCCTCCTCCCATGCCCGCCTCCAGGACTTCTCCAGGGTGTCACCCATCCTCTGGAACTCCCTGCCCCAACCCATCAGATTATCACCTACTCTCCTCTCCTTTAGGCGCACCCTGAAAACCCATCTCTTCAGGGAAGCCTACCCCACCCCCTGTTAACTTGCCGACCTCCTCCACTCTTTCTACCACTCCATCCCCCACAGCTATCTCCTCCTGTGCCACCATCCCCTCCCTCCTAGATTGTAAGCTCGAAAGAGCAGGGCCCTCAATCCCCTTATGTTTTGCATTGTATTGGTATTGTTCTGTCACATGTTCTGTCCCCCTTTGTAATGTACAGCGCTGAGCGAACTATTGGCGCTTTATAAATACTGTATAATAATAATAATAATAATAATAATAATACACAGAGAGATATAGAGCGAGAGAGAGAGAGAGATCTCCAAATGCACTTACTGTAAATCTCACAAATACTTCTCTCAGGTTCAGCATCCCATCCTCATGACATATCTTCTACACATACACAAAGGAATTAGTTCATCCTGGCATTTAAGGCATGCTATCTTCTAAAGAAAATTATGAAAGAAATGTAAGAAGCTTTTTTTTTGCAGAAGAGACATAGTAACTAATTTACTAAAGGAGTTGAGAACCTTCACTCAACAAACTATGAATACTAATGCCAATCATTCAGTCATGTGAACAGAAAATCCCTGTTCACTTTGAATACTCCATCATGTGCAGATGTTTTATAGATGATGGGATAATTGAAGATAATTGAATTCATACAATTTTTTAAAGTAGGTTCTTGACACCTTTAGTAAATCAGCCCAACAGTATGTCTCTTCTGCAATAAAAACCCTTTCTGCTCACAATTTGTTTTTTTGCAGAAAAAGTTTCACTTTAAGGTCACAAGAGGGATAGGGCACCTAAAGTAAAATTCACATATTATTTCTTCTCTGATAATCCCTATAGATACATTTGCATCTAGAACTTGTAAGAATATGGTTCATCAGTTTTCTAGGGGATTTACGGGACCCAGGTGTGGTAAGACTAATACACCGTCTAGTGGTTTCAGCCGTATTCATATGACAGTATAAATAAGGGATTTTACAGGATTCTAGACTGACACAAACTCTGGCAGGTCCAGTTGATATGATATATTGTAGCTGAATTATTCATAAATCTCAGGGATATAGTTGAGATTGATGGTTTAAAATTCCAAAGTTTTTCAGGTATGAGATATCAGCGTATTTTTGTTCTATATACATTTTCATTTTC